ATTTTATATGAGTTTTTCACATCATCTCTTCAACAACGCTGACTGTAAATGAGGCTTTAATGCTCCTATTTTTCTCAAAATGCGAAAGAACCAAGCTTGCCGTCCATTACAAGCTGCGGTAAACAAGACTAAACAAGAATTCGGCTCCGGAATTCCCGTGCACAAATATGCCTGCAGGGGCACTAAAAAACGAAATCCCTCAATACGATAAACGCTTTTGGTATTTGCTAAGCGTCTCAAATCCGGTAAACGAAGTTCGTTATGTTATTTTCTTTTCGAAAAAAATCTGCAACCACTCGATGGACTATGTATTTTATGGCTGAAGTTTTACTTTGGAAAATGTATCAGGGTCATAATTTGCCCGGTGAATTTCATGAAAGCACACATGAAGTTAGTGGTAGATACAGCGTGCCACGTGTTTCACACAATTTAAATTGGAAATGCAAACTTTCTCTGTCGTTCTATTATTGTTACCAGACAACGGGAACTATTTAATGAGCAAACATTGTAACTACTCAACAAAATTTTGTTAAAATATAATATGCACTGAATATATTTTGAATGATTATTTTCTTCTGCTAAGATGTACGAGTATCGTAGTTGGCGTTTGAAATAAATACTGGCGCTTGGCGAAATAAGTCTGTTTTTTATGAAAAGATTTGGATATACTGTGCTATAACCCCGGCAGATCGGATCAAAAGAAGGCGAACCCAACGCTCTGCTGGTATATTAACACATGGAATATGTTAGTAGCTATCCACTTTATCGCGAATATGGTGCTCTGTATTCTTTAGTGTGCTGTCAGTCTGCTTACTTACTATTTTTATCCCAAGAACTTCTGACCAAACGGCATCTCACTTAATTTTATGAATAAAAAATACGTAATCTAATAGTGTATTATGTTTAATAATGGGAAGCTTCGAATAAAGTATAATTAGCAGGGTGTCCACAGTCCATTAGATGCACACACATTGCACTCTGTCGTGAACTGTCCCATGTGAGGTCAGGAGGAGGTTATTTCGTAGCGGAAGATTTACAGGTTGTAAATCAGTAATGCCCGTAAAGATCACTCTTATTCAAATCTACGAGTACAATTCCATGACTAAGTATGCAAGTTTTTAAATAAGTAGTTTTACTTTAAAAAAGTTCTAGCGCTAGTTCTTAGAATGACTGAAGTTAAAGCGGAAATCAAGCAATCACATTAAAATCATGAAAAAGTACATGAAAAGCCTCTACTACCCTAACTCTATGGCATTAATGTGTATCCGACACGCATTTGCTTTACTATGTCGCCAGCATATGTTATGAGTATTAAATCTACACGCGGCAGCATGTGGGCCAAGTTGGGGAAACAAAAAGTTACACAGATAGTTTCAGATAGCCAGCTTCGAGCTCCTCAAAATTTAAAATCTACTTGACCTAATAAACACTTGCCACTCTGCTCTTCTTAACACCATATCCTAACTTTAAAAAACTTTTTTAACGTTCACGAGTAATGTCGGCAAATATGTAGCTACATACTTATTTCCTCACTCGTCGTAATTTTATACATTTTTTACATTTCTTACATAACATCGCTAACTAATCTGACTTACTGATGCGTGACTAAGTTGATAAATTGATTGATCAACGCTTAAATATGTTTTGTTTGCCGAATGGAGATCTCATTGGTATTAAAATGGCCTTGGCCTTATTTATTGCAATAAAAATACAATTATTGCTTAGGGGCCATCCATAAAGTACGTCACACGAATTTCATGATTTTTGACCCCCCCTCCGTCCTTGTCACAGGTGGTCACATTTCTGAGACCCCCCCTCCCTAGTGTGACGTCACATGTTTTGCAATTTCACATCGAAAAATTATTAAATTACCAGCAGTTCCGAAATTACTTTTAATTCCATTTAAATTAAGTACTTTTTTTATGAAATCAACATTATATCAAATATTTGAAACAATTGAAATGTGATGTCACGAAACTTAGGACCCCTTGTCACACTATGTCACACTTTGTCAACCCCCTCCTCCCCTCTTTACGTGTGACGTACTTTATGGATGACCTGATTGTGGTCAAAGTGGCAGTGGCCTTGTTATGCATAAAAAAATATTTACCCTTTTTTAAGTCCTTAGCACACGTTCAGGTCTCAACTTTTTTCGGCACCAACTTCAACTTCTGACAACTTTTGTATCGAGCTTGGCCCTCATTTTATAATACTTTACATTACCTTTTTGTTAGGTTACAAGCTTATTAACATAAATAATATACGTACTACTATTAATATCGTAAATTTTAATATAATTAGCGATTTGTAGGTCATCGGTTGATACCAGTAACAATTTTTTGTCTACCTACTGTAGGTACTCGTACTGCTGCTTTAAAAAAGTTACCATTTTTTTTTGGACTATTATAACAATCGCTGGTTGGACTTGGGTGCTTAGATGGGTGAGCTAAGGGGCTCTCAAAGTCAAATTTAAGCTACATTTAATTATACACCATAGGCATCTATGCCATGGATATTTTAATGTGAAAATAATGCTTTCACTACAAGTACCTATATAATTTACTTATATTCCCCGCCTCAGACAGTATTAATGTTAGGTAGGACTTTAATTATTTTGATTTGTTTTAAATATAGGGTACCTAGCTAATAAAACTTTTTAATTATTAAAGCATAAATATTTTAATATCGTGTATCAAATTTATTAGGTTAGTAAAATACTAAGGAATATTGTTTCGAAGAACTAAGGAAACTTTCCCTTGCTATTTTTATCGATTTATACTTAATCCTATTTCTAGACGATGTCCCAGTTATGTCCCTGGATATAAAAACTAGGAAAGAGAAAGAATTCCTCTTGATAGGTTGTATTTATTATTGACATCCGTTTACTGAGAACTCATTAGGGACTATCGCCCGTATTCACAAACATTACTAAGAGGTCGCGTGGACGCACAGTGCAGATACACAACGCTGTGCGTTCGATTTGCTGTTTCACTTAAGCAAGCATCGTTTGTGAATATGGGCGCAAGTCTCTTTAGTACTTACTCACTCCACTCATGAACAGAGGGTAGACTGATGCAATGGCAAATACGAGTACCTACTTCGCCTCTATTTGCTGAGACCCATCAAATGGGGACAGCGGGAATGGATGGAATGGAAATCTAGAAATACTACGGCTCTAAAACGGAATTTCAGCACACCTTTCTTCGCACATACGCTATTCTGACAATTTTTAATATCGATATGATTTTACTAAGGCTGAGCTACACCACCTGACTTTGACCGTAACTATACAGGGTGTTAGGTAAATGGGTATATGAGCCGACACTAGCCCAAGTTAACATGGGCATATAAATGGTATGGCGAAGTCAGAAATTTGACATCATCATTTTATTTTTTTAAATTTTCATTCAAAATAAATGTTATAAAATCCGATTTGTATGAAAAATAAAATAATTAAAATGAAGATATCAATTTTCTGACTTCACCATACCATTTATATTACCAAGTTAACATGGGCTAGTGTCGGCTCATATAGCCATTTACCTAACACCCTGTATATAACGATAACTGGTGATTTTGGTATGGAGTTTGACAGATTTTTGACGCTTGTTAAAGTTAAAGTAAGATGGTGCTCCCTAACCTTAGTTTGTAAGATTCGTGTGCCAAAACTCTAAGGCTGAGTTGCACCACTTTATTTTAATCGTAACAATAACAATAATAAAAACAATAACAATAATAAAAAACAATAACAATTATAATAAAAAGCACCGGTGCTTTTTGTATAGAGTTTGACAGATTTTTGACGTTTGTCAAAGTTAAAGTAAAATGGTGCAACTCAGCCTAAAGAAAGTCTACCTACGGACTAGCGGAGATGAAAACTCGTAAAGAAAACTCTGAGTAACCTACCAAAAAGCTGCATCATCTAATATAGCTGTTTTAGACTTGCTTGTTATCAAGTACCATTATAATGTGCACGATTAGAACACTCCGGAACGGCATCTAGGCATTTGTCCTAATTGTGAAAAAAAATTCTTGAGTAAAACACGTACATTTGGTTTCACTTGCAAGTGCATTTGCAAATCGCTAACACATTACGAGTAGGTAAGTACTTAATTAGATGGCAGTACTATAAATCTCATAAAGGAATGTGACTAAAATAAAAAACTTTTCCTTAAACATTAGCAATTTGATTTTAATTGTTGTCAATTACAGTTCGCTATTTCCATAAAATTTTTAAGACAATAGCCTGAAAACGACGTTTACACAATAGGCTTTGAGAAATAAATTAAAGTTAAGAAAAATCCAGACTCCGTCAGAACAATCGTGTTGATTATTGTAATTTGTGTTTGTGTGTTCTTCAAACGGCGTCGGTGTGGCCGCAATGACAAATGGATTGGCTCGATCACATGGCCCGCGCCTCTCCCATCGCCATAGAAACTCCACCCTTGTCTATATCCATCTCAATAGCCGTTAATCCCACCCAGATTAACTAATTAAACAATTAGAAAGTTACGTGCTAGTTTTCCGAAGTTTGTTGTTGCCGCGCGTTAGGCACGTCGCAGACGCTCGGAGGTGCATCGCGTTGCGGTAACATGCAGCAGTATCTTCGTCCCTAGTTACAAATACCCATAGAAATACTATTCAATGATTTATAGAATCGTTTGTGTTAATAGGCTCATTCATTCAACTACCCTTCGGTGAATAGTGGCAAGTTTAAAGAAGTATGGCATCAGCATGCAAAGTAGGTTGGTTAAGCAGTGTGGAGGTCGCGAGTGGTGCGTGTCGATGATCGATGGTATTGCGTGCGTCTTAGTGGTAAGGTCGCGAGCGCCCGCGGCTCCGCGCGGCCCTTGGGCGGCCGCCGCGGCTCCGCTTTGTCCCTCGCTCCCGCTGCGGGCTGGCTCCGCCTCTACTGCCGTCGCGCCGCCGCGCCTAACTCCCGGCGCGCATGCTCAGCGCTATCCTACGCCACGATTTAAAATGATACGCTCAGCGAAGTAGCGGACATTCGGCTCGTCGTCAGTCGGGATATCGGCCGATGCGACCGGTGTTGTAGGTGTCGGTGCGCCCCCACAGTCCGCGGCAACTCTTCGCCCCGCTTAGTCGAGCACTCGAAGGGAACGCGCGGCAGCCCCGGTATCGATCTGAGCGCTTCGTGTGGCCGCTCGTGCACGACGCTCTCTCGGGATATTCGCCCAGCGGTCGCCGTCCGCGCCGGCCTTGCTGCCCTGTTTACGCGCTGTGTGTTTCCCCGCGCGATGTCCAGCGAGACTGATTGCTAACGCGACACGCAGTAGCTAGACACCTGAGAGCCGCTTCGGCTCATCGCCGCTCTATTTGATCGATCTCGTGCAGCGAAACTTAGAGGTAAGTTCTGTTTTAGTCTAACTTTTTATTATTTTATTTTTTCTTACATTATTTCTTCTAAAAAAATTATCACGTGCAAAAAGCTATTCCAGCGAATGTCATTTAATAATAAATTAATTTAGCGCCTCTGTTAAATACTTTGCCTGTAATAACTATCTTTCACCGGTACGAATGTGCGTGGATAAGGTGTATATTAGAATATTTCTATTGAGTGTTAGCCATCTGGTTTGTATTTCTAAAGTTAGATTGTAAAATCGTAAACTACATGGATTCATCGGTATCGGTATTTGTGGAGCACTTGGTTCTTCGTATCCATCCTGTTTCTGAGGCGATTTTATTATTTTTTTGGGTCCAAGTATAAGCGGTTCCGGCTCCACTAATTCTAAAATGTTCGGACCAAATGAAATGGAAGCCTTTTTTCGCACGTGATGTATTTTCTTTTTCGACTGCGCATGTCTTCAGTCTGTTTTATTTGTCGTATAGCTGTACCATGGAATTCTCAAATATTGGTAACTGTTGATTCCCCCAGCATTGACACGGGAAATGAGAGATACTCGTACGCGCATCGGTTGTTGAATCTTCCGATTGGTGTCAATATTTATTTTCACTTAAATTACCGATGTAAAGAGTTTTACCGCGCGTCCATTGTTTCTTCCATAATGGACAACAAAGACTAGCATACAGTTTAATTATACTTTCTTGTGAATCTTGTCATTTGTTTCTGAAATTTCGTCACAGAATCTTACTGCGTCAAAAGTATGTAAAGCTTGCCTTAAGTGTGTCAAGACTAAATCAATAATGTACTTTCCTAGTTAAAGTCCTTTTATTAGCCACAAACGCGGTCCACCTTATCGGAAATCAGTTGCGTGCACGAAAACTCTTATTTATTTGTTACTATTCCCGCTTTTACTATTACTTGTTGTTATTATTCAGGGTTATTTGACAACAATTATTTCAAGCTACACGAGTAATCGTATCAATGCTTATAATAAGCAAAGGACGAACAGAAATACAATTCCGGATTATTATAATATTTTCCTAAATACGGCCGTGACAAAAAATAACTTTTTCTATTTAGATAATTCTCGCATTGTAGGTATTCATCGAGGGTCTGAAATGTTGTAATAACAAAATAATATATAAGAAAATATCTGTTTATTATCCGACACGTTGAAAATACATAAATAAATATGAATTTCTTTTTAACACATTTACCAAATAATATTATATCAACGTGGTCGCTTACTATGGGCCTCATAAGAAGGCTCAAGGTCACCCAAAGAGCGATGGAGCGTGCTATGCTCGGAGTTTCCCTGCGTGATCGAATCAGAAATGAGGAGATCCGTAGGAGAACCAGAGTGACTGACATAGCCTGCAGAATCGCTAAAATCAAGTGGCAGTGGGCGGGGCACATAGCTCGAAGAGCTGACGGCCGCTGGGGCAGGAAAGTTCTTGAGTGGCGACCACGAGCTGGAAGACGTAGCGTGGGCAGGCCTCCCACTAGGTGGACCGACGATCTGGTAAAGGTCGCGGGAAGTACCTGGATGCAAGCGGCGCAGGACCGGTCTTTGTGGAAATCCTTGGGGGAGGCCTTTGTCCAGCAGTGGACGTCTTTCGGCTGAAACGAACGAACGAACGAACGAACGATTATATCAACGTGGAATAAAGAGTTTCACACGAGAAATAAAATAATTTCGGCCCGCTAACGTATTTCCAGCAAATAGCCCAATTTCATTCATAAATGTCTTTTATAATCCCGAAGGAATTCTCGTAAATCAACGCAATCGTAAGGCCTAATTCACACGAGAGCTTTTTTAACGTCCGTTAAAAAAGCGTTCAAATAGAACATATGCATACCCAAGTACGTGTTCACACGTCAGCGCTTTTAAAACGCGACGCTTTATTATCGAGCAGTGTTGCATTTTCAACGCAGAGCGTTGGGAATAGGCTTGGGTATGCATATTATGTTCTATTTGAACGCTTTTTTAACGGACGTTAAAAAAGCTCTCGTGTGAATTAGGCCTAAATCAACAAAATTATTATCACTCGCCGACGTTCAATGCGATTGATTGTAAACACAATTTATATCTTACTCGAGATTACCATGGGATTTTAATAAAATTATAATAAAAATAAACTTTTTTAAAAACAAGCTTTTATTCTGAATTTCGAAAGTTTGTATCGCGCATGGAATTTATTCCTCTTTTTCTCTGATTGCGCTACAAGCTTTCGAAATTCAGAATAAAAGCTTGTTTTTAAAAAAGTTTATTTTTATTATAATTTTATTTTACACTTTTTAGTTATATCTTAATCTCAGGACCCTGGACGTTATCTAACACTAAAGTGCTCGAAAAGACAAATCCAACGAACCCAAACTCGATGAGTTTCCGCCGTTTTGTTTAGGAGTTCCTATGGCCACCTCCCGATTCCATCATCAGACCAGCTCAATGGTACCATAATATTGCATTGTCATCGGACTTACACATGTATGCAAAATTTCAGCTCAATAGGAAACCGGGATGTGGGTCAATTTTAAGTTGCAAGATTTGACGACAGACACCAGACATGTGAAAGTAATAAAAAGCTTGTAAAATGAACGTATGTTTTCTCTTACTCAAAGGCAATCGAGGCACATCCAAATGGATTTTATAATAATATCGTATTTGGTACTAGCGGCCGCCCGCAACTTCGTACGCGTGGATCCCGTTTTACCCCCTTCATCTATCTTACGCGGTTTGGATTTTTTCATACAAATGTTTTTTCCCGCTAACTCCCGTTCCCGTTGGAATTTTGCAATATCCTGTTGTAAATAAGCTTTAAGTTTACTAAGGTACCTGCATGCCAAATTTCAAGCGTCTAACTTAAGCGGTTTAGATTTTTCATACAAAAGAATTTTCCCGCTAATTCCCGTTCCCGTGGGAATTTCTAAGTATACTATTATAACCTGCCCAGGAGTATGAAGAATAATTGTGCCAAGTTTCGTTAAAAGTGGTTTTTGTTTCTATAAGGAACATACAGACAGACAGACAAAAATTTTACTGATAGCATTTTTGGCATCAGTATCGATAACTAATCACTCCCTGATAGTTATTTTGAAAATATATTTCATGTACAGAATTTACCTCTCTACAGATTTATTATAAGTATAGATTTGAAGATAAAAAATTAAAAGCGAAAAAGGTTAGGGTTTAAAGATTCGTACTTCGACCTAGGAAACGAAATAAATCGATTCTCGGGGCGACAAACAAAATGTCCTACTTAACTTTTTGTCGTTTTGCCTCGCCACCCACGCCAATTGTTTTTGTGGAAGTGAACTACCGCGGGACGCAAGTTAAACAAACTTGTTAACTTACTTTTGGTCATACATACATTATGTCAATTCAATTTAGAAAACGACCTGGCAGTTCTTGGAATACAAACGCTCATGAATATTGCAGCATCAAATATCTCAGTGAAAGGTAAAAATATTATTAAATACTATGTAATTTCTAACTGAACTACCTCGCGGGACTAAAGAGAAGTTGTTAACTCACTTTAGTCGCACATACAAATGTCAATTCAGTTTAGAATTCTTATTTACTTGGTAGTTCTCGGTGTATTTACAAATGTTTGCTTCTGGGAACTCAGCTTCTGAGGCCTGAAGCATGTAAAAGGCAAACTACCTACTATTAGATGTTTTATTATGATTTCTAACGGTGCCGTCTAAATACATACGCGTACATAGTCATTGAGAGCAATCGTTTAAAAGAAATATGTAGTATAAATACACAAACCGCTCGAAGATTTTAATAACTAAATATTGTTTTATTAAATGAACTTGGCACTACGTGGCAATGTAGTTTTATAATGTGATCTTATTTAGGTAAATATCTGTAGGATATATGTCACCACTATTGTCGTTCCTTTGTGTGAGCTCGGCAAATGTCTGTTGTCGTGATCATTCTATAAACATTGTAGGCGTGTGTATTTTACACATTTCTAGTAATACGAGTATCACTGTAAAATGCTCTAACTCAAATGATGATAAATTAATTCAACTTTATAAAAAAAAAAAAATAATGAAACGCTTTTTCTTACACGATAGCAGATAGAAAACTTTATCAGTTTTATCCTCATCTTGTTTTCGTACTCAAAACTAATTTAATAACTTTAATAACTTAATGTACGAAGCAAAATAATTAACTCGAAAAAAACTTAACGAATGAAATGGGAACGTTTAACGAATATCATGGCAATAGGGCTAATTAACGTTTATAAAGGTACTTTAAATAATTCCTGTAATTAGCTGAAAGCGCTGTAAGCGTGCTACAAGATTTTCCAGAAAAACTTGCGCTCAATTAAGTAGATATGAATGATCTTACCTATTGTTAGTTGCTTCTGCAGGTGAAGTTCGCGAGTTGTTAACCAATTTGTGAGGAGATGCTTACAGCTCCCTTCAGGTACAATTCACATTAAATACAGTTTTTACTTTAAATAATTAACTTGATATTTTAATCACTGAATACAATTTACATGGATTGTTAATGAAACGCAAATTATGCATGAAACGAGTACACGTTCTGGCAAATATAAAACGGAGCAAACCGATATTGAATATGTACAGTCAATTGAGCTCTGCAATACAAACTTATGAAACTGAATTAACTAGCTGTGCCCGCGACTTCGTACGCGTAATAATAGTTATAATAATATTTCCCGTTTTTGCAAAGTTTTTCTTTACTGCAGCTCCGCCTCTATTGACTGTAGGGTGATGTAATATAGTCTAAAGCCTTCCTTGATAAATGGCCAAAACAATATTTTTTCAAATCGGACCACCTAGTTCCTGAAATTAGCGCGTTCAAGCAAACAAAGAAACCAACTCTTCAGCTTTAAATATTAGTATAGATTTAGATAAAGCCAAAAGGACTTGTGTCGAATGAAGACACTTCACAATCCATATAAAGTTTTGTGCGAATACAAAACTTGGTCTGGCCGGCTGTCTTCGGCTCTAAGTAGGAAAC